GTACTATATAACATTTTAGACACATTCTAGACAGTTTATCAGCTAAAAAAAGTTAATTTTGGGGTAAGTTACTCTTTAACAGAGATATTTATGAAAATTAAAAATAAATTATTAGACCCAAACATCATTCCTGGAGCAGGATGATTGAAGCAGTAGTTATCCTGAGGTACAATTTTTTTTTGTATGAAATCCAAAGACGGATGCTCAGGAGATCTGAACTGTTGTATTTTGTTTGATGAAGTCGCAGCAGTGACAGGAACCTTGTCCCTCATGTTACCTTTGGTAAATAAATAAGCTTAAATTTTATTGATCTGAATGTTTTAGCTCTGCGAGATAAGAAACTGTTTTCCTTTAATCGGTCACTCCTGTGATGTTTCCTATCTGTCCTCTGTTGCCTCTTGGGTCGTCCTCTCCTCGCTCCATAATCCCTGTTGGCGTTGGCAGTGAGGGGAAACAACCGGGTTATAAATCAGAGCCACAATGAGAGTTGAGAGAGACAAAATGCCTCACATTTACTCACCCCTCCTCTGCATACCAGCACTGCTGAGTATAAATACATCAGTCAGGAGGCCCCCCTCCGTGTGTTTCTCTGCATCAACTAAACAGCTTATCTCCTCCACGGCACAGTTTCATATGAGACCACTGTGCTAATCTGTGGTTGGAGGTGAACAGAAGTGTGGTGATAATGCTGCACTGAGGTACCTGCTAATAAAGAGTGCAATATTTCAGCTATTAATAGTTTGCATTACATTGTGTTTATTTAAAAAGAGTGGATGAAAATACATCATTACAGGTCTAGTTTCCACATCTTTTAAACACTACACTACTACACTAAACTGCTAAACATGTAAAGAAAATTTCACGGAAGCTAATGCTAAACTGCTAAATTTGTAAATTAGTGGAAGCTAAGACTAAGATTCTAAGCATAAAAAATTGCAGAAGCTAACGCAAAACTACTAGACATGAAAACAAAAACGAGCGCAAAACTGATGAACGTAAAAAAATAGTGGGTGCTAATGCAAAACTAATAAACGTAAAAAAAACATAATGGAAGCTAACACTAAACTAATTCATGTAAGAAAAAATAGCAGAAGCTAAAACTAAATTAATAAATGTAAGAAATATAGCAGAAGCTAAAACTAAATTAATAAACGTAAGAAAATATAGCAGAAGCTAACACTAAATTCTTGTGAATGGGTGTTCTGAACTGTAATTTCATTGTGCTCTGTACGATGAAAATAAAGGTCTATCTTATCTTATCTTATCTTATCTTATCTTATCTTATCTTATCTTATCTTATCTTATCTTATCTTATCTTATCTTAACTTAATAAACGTAAGGAAAAAATAGAAGAAGCTAATGCAAAACTAACAAATGTTAAAAAATAGTAAACGCTAATGCAAAACTAATAAACATAAGGAAAAAATAGCAGAAGCTAATGCAAAATTAATGAACATTAAAATATAGTGGAAGCTAATGCAAAACTAATAAAGGTAAAAAACATTGTGGAAGCTAATGCTAAACTAATAAACATAAAAAAATAGCAGAAGCTAATGCTAAACTAATAAACGTAAAAAAAGCAGAAGCTAATGCAAAACTAATAAAGGTAAAAAACATTGTGGAAGCTAATGCTAAACTAATAAACATAATAAAAATAGCAGAAGCTAATGCTAAACTAATAAACGTAAAAAAAGCAGAAGCTAATGCAAAACTAAGAAAGGTAAATATTAGCAGAAGCTAACACTAAACTAATAAACGTAAAAAAAATTAGCAGAAGCTAATGCTAAACTAATAAATGTGAAAATTAGCAGAAGCTAACACTAAACTAATAAATGTAAAAATTAGCAGAAGCTAACACTAAACTAATAAACTTAAAAAAATAGCAGAAGCAAATGCAAAACTAAGAAAGGTAAAAAAAATAAAAATACCAGAAGTTAACGCAAAACTGATAAACATTTTAAAAATAGTGGAAGCTAACACTTAACAGTTAAATAAAAAATTATTGGAAACAGTAATCGCTAACCGCTATAAGGACTCAGTCTGTGTAACGCATCTTCATCTAAAGACTGGTGGGACCGACACAAACCTGTTGATGTTAGCTTTTTAGTTAGCTGTTAGCGGACTTAAAGTTGGCAAACCTAAAATAGTGGAAGCCAACTGCTCTGCTAATGTTTTTCAAAGTTAGAGAAAATAAGTAATACACTAAAAAATGTTTCAGTAGTTGATGTTAGCTCATTAGCTGTACCCACCACTGTCAGTAATTTGAACCATTTTTGTGGTGGCTAAGGTTGATTAGCTGTAGAGGCCATCTTGAATCAGTTGGATGCCAAAGGATAATCAGATGAACGTCCAATGATGACTTTCTGAGAGTTTCATTTAAATCTGTTCAGTTCATGTTAGCATGCGACACAGTGGGCAGCTGGATCACCTCAACTGGTTCCTCTGGATGTTCATGGTCACTACCCAGAGCTCATGACCACATGAGGGAATGAATGAAATAAACTACATACAGAGGGGTATTAGGGAAGCCCGACCAGTGAGTGGGACCAGTATGGACTATTGTTAGGACCACTATAAGGACTATTATTAGCCGCATGATGCGGCGAGTGGATCGCAGCTCCAACAGAAGCATTGTGACAACAGATGGAGCCTTTGATGTTCTCCCCTCAGATCCTGACTGAAGTTACAAAACCAAAACAAAAGACTTCAAGGACGGACAGATGAACTGGGACGAGTGGCGTGAGACACAGAGGACACTGATTGAACACCAGCATGTGCACGAATACCGTCTAAAGCACAAACTGGATCCCAGTGGCTGGAGACATGTCCTACAAGAATGTGCAGGAGAGAACCGCAAGCCAGATAATTACAGCAGCTGCTTGTTCAGGGTGTTTATGTGTTAACATAAAGGTATAAATAGCCTGTTAAATTTGGCTTCTTAGCAGCTAAAAACCTACGTATTGTTACATAAATAAGATACAAAAGGCTACATTTGGGCTGTGATCAACGAGGCTATGTTTAAAATCTGCTTTAAAGCTTTTACAATGAATAAACAATCAACAATGGAGATAAAGTTTCACTAAAACAGTAAAATTAATCAAATATTTTTAATACTGGTGAATTAAAAACGTTCATAAACTCAATAATTTACAGGATTCATGCAGAGAGGAACTCATTAAAACAAAAACGCTGCAGTTGATGATCGACGGGTTCTTCTGAAAACCCAACACTTGGGTTCCTCAGGGTTCTTTGAACGGGTCGGTGGGCGTGTGGTTGAAGCTGGCAGTGATGAAGATGGCCAGGGTGCCCACCGTGGTGAAGATCACGAAGATCCAGAGGAACATCCGGTCCACCACCATGGCCACGTACTGCCAGTCCTCCTTCAGCTGCAGAGAAGACGTAAAAAAGCCTGTAACGAGCTAAAACTGCTGCTGAAGCTAAAAGAACTTCAGTTTAAAACTAAATAAAGCAAAACCTGAGCTAAAAGCAGTAAAATGCTAGCTAAAATCTAAACTAGCATAAAAAGCAGCAAAGGTTTATAGCCAAAAACAGCTAAAGCTTAGCTGAATGCTAAAGTAGAAAAATGGTAGGTAGTTATAGCTATAATGTAAAAGTATCAAAAAGGTTGGTTATAGGCTAAAAGTAGTAAAAAGGCTAGTTATAAGCTAGAATTAGCAAAAGGGTATCTAAATAACCTAAGATTAGCTGTAGGATAAAAGTAGCAAAAGGCTGGCTATGAACTAAAATTAGCAAAAGGGTAGCTAAGTAACCAAAGATTTGCCATAGGCAGAAATTAGCAAATAGACTGGCTATCAGCTAAAAGCAGCAAAATGCTGTTTTTAGCTAAAAGTGTCTAAAGGCCCGTTATAATCTAAAAGCAGCAAAAAGGCTTGTTTTAAACTAAATTAGCAAAAAGCCTGGCTATAAGCTAAAAGTACCAAAAAGGCCTGCTTTAAGCTAAAAGTAGCAAAAAGGCCTACTATAAGCTAAAACTAGCAAAAAGACCTGCTTTAAGCTAAAAGTAGCAAAAAGGCCAACTATAAGCTAAAAGTAGCAAAAAGGCTGGTTATAAGCTAAAATGAGCAAAATGGCTAGCTAGAAGCTAAAACTATCAAAAAGGCTTGCTATAAGCTAAAACTAGCAAAAAGGCCTGCTTTAAGCTAAAAGTAGCAAATGGCTTGTTATAAGCTAAAAGTAGCAAAAAAGGCCTGCTAAAAGCTAAAACTAGCTAAAAGGCTAGTTATAAGCTAAAACTAGCAAATGGCTTGTTATAGGCTAAAAGTAGCGAAAAGGTTGGCTATAAGCTACAACTAGCAAAAGTCAAGCTATTAGCTAAATGTAGCAAAAGGCTAGGTATGAGCTAAAAGTAGCAGAAGGCTGATTATTAGCTAAAAGTATCAAAAGCGTAGCTATCAGCTAAACAGCAAAAGTCTGGGTAAGAGCTAAAAGGCTGCTTATGTTCTAAGTGTCAAAAGGTATTTCTATAAGCAAAAAGTAGCAAAAAGGTAGCCGAGGAACAAAAGGCTAAACTGAAAATTTATACAAAAAGTCAGGATGTCAATGATAGAAGTTTTGTGTAAATTATGCAGAAACAAAACAAAACAAACAAGTAAACAAAGCTCAGCCTCTGTTTACACTCTAATAAAGTGAAGTCTCTGATCGTGTATAAAAACCCACAGCTTTGTGTATAAAAACCCACAGATTCGTGTATAAAAACCCACAGATTCGTGTATAAAAACCCACAGCTTCGTGTATAAAAACCCACAGCTTCGTGTATAAAAACTCACAGCTTCGTCATCTTTCTCGGCCTGCAGAGCCTCGGCGATGTAGGTGATGGCGTCGATGGCTGACTTCAGCTCGTCGGGCAGCGTGAGGTACGAGCTCGGGCCGTCGATGAACTTCCTCAAGTCGGTGCACAGACCCTCGGGCTGGAATCTGCACACAAATAAAAAAACACATCCACAACATGAAGTACCACCGCAGTACAAGTACACGACACGCTGCGGGGACGGTAAATTCCTCAGGGTCCTGTGAAAAAAGCAGAGGCGCTCAGAATAGTGTGAATGTTTCTGTGTTAAACTGTAAATCTGAGCAGCAACACGCTCAAACCGCTCGGACACTGCTGCCGTGTTTACGTGTCGACGCCTCTGTGTCGACTCGCTACCAGCTGGCTGCTGCACTCAGCTGTTCACACCGGAGCTCCAGCTCATCACAACGTTTGTTTTTATCCACTAAACTGATAAAAACAAACAAAACAACAGAGACTGGAAGGCTTATCTACGGTGGCCCTGAAGTCCAAAACATCAATTCACAAAGATAACAAAAAGGAAAACAGCCAGATTTAACCAAAGACAAACATACAAACACAAGATATTCAAAAAAGGCACAAAAGCGTTAATGTAACAACTGTGAAAGAATAAAAAATCTTTAAATTAAAGATTTTATTTGATCTTGATGTTGACTCTTGGCTACCACATCAAATTTTACCTCTTTATCAGTAAAATTACCTGAGTGATGGTTGTTTTTAGCTATTGAAGTGTTATCAGTGTGCATTGCCAATGCAATGCACACTATTGTGATTCGTTTCCCATCCAAGTCATCTCAACTTTGCCATGCTTCTCCTCCTGCATACTTTGACCTAGAGCTGCCATTGTAATTTATATCTGTAAAGCTCCTGTGCCAAATGACTGATATGCCTTTTGGTGCCTGTAAAACTTATAGTTTATGAAATATCAATGTTTAATAAATTTTAATGGGAGTCAATGGAGCCTTGTATTGGTCCAATACTGCCCCCTGCTGTACTCAACTTGGTACTGCACCATATTTTAATATTTCTACTCAGTAGTTCAGTGTTTACAATACTAATGTGATTGTATTTTGATGTTTTACAATAATATTGTCCTAATATTGCTTTATTGTTTTTATATATTTCAAATTAGTGACAACGATTACATTGGCAAGGTGGCCTCTTTCTGCACACATACAAACCAAACCCTGGCCTCATTCTCTACCACAGCTCTAACGGTCTCGTGGTTAGTGCCGTGGGCTTTCATGTGGGAGATCAGGGTTTGAAACCCAGCAACAGCAACTTTAACAAAAATCTCTACAAACTTCATATTGTCACACAATTACCTTAATTACAAACACCTGCTGACTTGACAAGCACAGGCTGGTATAGAAAACACATTTGAACTTGGTCACAGTTCATTGCGGCAGGCAATGACATGCTGCATGGCAATGCACACTGATTATGATTCGTTTCCCATCCAAGTCATCTCAACTTTGGCACGCTTCTCCTCCTGCATACTTTGTCCTAGAGCTGCCATTGTAATTTATATCTGTAAAGCTCCTGTGCCAAATGTGGCAGTCAATGGAGCCTTGAATTGGTCCAACACTGGCCCATGCTGTACTCAACTTGGTAC